AAGGAAATGCTAAGAGGTGACCTCTGGAACCGCCCCACCCCACCCCATCCTTAGTCCCCTTCAACTTGGAGGTTTGCAGCAAGTGTGTCCAGTCGTATCAAAATAGCTCTTTTTAAAAAACATTTATGCATACAAGAATTCAGGTATATGCTACGGGTGTGGGGGACAGGGGTGAGAGGCTTCACCAGAGATAGGCAGGGAAGCAGAACAGGCAGATGGACTGAAATACACTGCTGAGGGGAGCAGCAGGTGAGACAGGAGAGGTCTGCTGAGCCATGTAGGTCACCTCCCTGGCTGGGGATCGAACTTGTGCTGCAGTGGCTGCAGACAGCTTCATAGTGCTGTGCTTGAACCAGTTGCACCACCAGGCATGACCCCTCAAAGCACTCTTTTTAGGTAAAATATATACACAGGGTTCTCTCAACCCCACTCCACCAGCTTCAGCACAGGGGACCCCTAGACCTCACCAGTTTTCACCGTGCCAGTCTTCACTGAATGTGAGACCTGCAAGCCATTCCCCTCCCCAGGGCCCTCACCAGGGGCCTTCATGATGCTGCTGCCATCTCCTCCGTCTTACGGTGCACATCCCTGCTCCAGCCTGAGGACACACTTAAGTCCCCAAACTTGCTGTGATTTCGCTCAGCCCTGGAAAGTGTCCTTTATTCTTTAAACCTGGAATGTTCTTGCTTACTCTGTTACTGGGTTTCGGCCTCTTGTCTATAGTGGTAGTCTCTCAAGAAGCCTCATCTGAGGTTCTGAAGGACGGCGTGGGGTAGCTCTCCTCTCAGAGCACAGGAGTAGTGTCTTCTGTCTCAGTTGAACTGTGAGCTGCTGGAGGGCAGGAATGGTGTCTGGTTCGTGCTAGAATTGCAGGATCTGGCCTGCACAGGAGGCCCCACCTAGGCCACTCTGCAAATACGAATGGAATAAACACGAGCACACGTCCCAGGCCAGGTGACTCAGGGCTCCCTCGGGCAGGTGAGATGGTGCTGGCACCGGTTACGGGGCACCTGACCCTTTGCCTATAGGATGTACGCTAGAGGGCTGATTCAGGATTTGGAAATCAATGTCGCTAATTAAAAAATAACTCAAACTGAAAAACAAGTTCTGAAACAATTAAGATAATTAAAAATATCACTACCTTAATTGAGACCAAGCAGTGAGCTTAAAAAATAAAATTAATTTAAAAAAAAAGCTTACATCAAGTCAGTAATTAACTGGCTTTTGAATTCAATCTTTTTTAGCTCAACAAATCTTTCTTAAATTAATTCATTTTGGATTTTTTTTTTTTTTTTTTTGGTTTGTAAAATGTTATTTAAAAAATGAAGTGTTCGTGCCTGGGGTGCAGGTGACTGGGTCCATTTTTCACGTATGGGCAGGAAGGTGACCTTACCTTTCCATGGGCTTAAATTCTGTGCTACGCCTGTTGTCCTGTTTAAGACCATGTCAATCTACAGGAATCCTGACTGAAGAGCTGGAGGGGACATAGGGCTTCATCATCTCGCAGGGACTGCTGCTTTCTGTCCCCCAGCATGTGCAGGGGGAGAGACGCTCCCATGCACAAAGTCCCTGAACCTTTAATGGCCTCTCAGATGCCACCAATTATTCAATCTCTTTCATTGCCTTTGGAAAGTGAGCCTCGCAGTCTGTCCAGGATGGTGCCAGGAGCCTTTTGGAGTGTCACCAGGCACCTTGGGACAACTTGCAAAGGTGTATTTGGGAGGCCTGTTGCAATGGAAATGCCAGCCTTTCAGCCTTTCACACCCAGTGTTGCTGTTTACCCAAAACAAAATGCATTCTGGTGGTGCAGTGGGTGCTGACAGGTTGATCTGTTACTATTTTGTGATTCTATGAAGTTTGCTTACTCTAAATAATTTGCATATGTGTTTGAAGTTTTTAGAGCCTGGTAATTTTAATACTACTCTGTGAAATTGTTAAGTATGTCTATGCAGTTAAATAGTGGATGACTTTTATTTGTTGGTATTGTTGGTAATTTTATTTTTTAAAGAAATATTAGCATTAAGAATTGGAGGAAGCATGATCTATGGTAGTTGCCCTGGGGATACAGTAACAGATGACAAGGTGGCAGAAAGACTGACCAGACCAGTCCCATGACACATTTGGAGGAGGGCTGCCTTTGGGTGACGTCGGCAGAGGGCTGTCCAGGAGGGGTGCCTCGCCTTAGTGGAAGCACAGGGGCTGTGTGTGTGGCATCAGGGCAGTCCCGTGAGCCCCAGCATTGGGCTCCTGGCTGCCCCGACTTTTATCCCTCAAGGCTCATCATGCCCTGAGTGTCTCTCAGGTACCTAGAGCATGTGCAGTACTTGGTGGAGATGGTCAACATTTTAGGAGCTCTCTTAGGTGAATCTCACGTATAGGCCTTTGATGCTGAGGGGTTTGGTTTCTGGTGTCAACTGGGTGTGCGTCAGACATCTTCCATACCTTTGTTTGTAAAGTGGGCATGTGAACAGCAGCTGCCTCCTTCGGTGGCTTCGAGAATTAAACATGTAATCCAATTAGCTCAGCTCACTGCCTGCGTGTCAGAAGCGCTGGGTGAGTGCTAGCGATTGTCATTGTCATTATGAAGCCTCATTCTATCTGGGAGCAAAATCCTGGCACAAAAAATTAGCAAACACCAATGAGGTACTTAATATGGTCCAGGTCTACCCGAAGCACTTACAGATATTAACTTGTTCCTCATGACAACGCAAAGCAATAGAAGGTTCTATTATCACATCCTCATTTTGCTGAAGAGGCAGCTGGGCTCAGCGGCCAGTCAGCAGCGGAGCTGGCACCCACACCCAGGGGCACTGGCCCGGCACCTGCGCCCTCCCTGCTGTGCTGGGCTGACTCCTGGTCGTGAGGTCGCGCTGCTCACGGAGCCCATCCGGGTGCAGTGTGGACATGGCACGTTTGTGAGATTGACTGCAGAAGCCAAAAGCTAGCCCTTAAGGCTTGCCTGGTTGTACTGCAGATTTGGTACTCCTGGGCCATCTCTGAGATCCACTCCAGTGAGCATCTGAAGGGTTTGGTGGCACGTGGCATCTGGCAGGGAAAGCTCTCTGTTGGTATCTGCTGTTGGCTGCCATTGGTGTGGTCCCCGAGTTTCTGGAGAACCATGAGAGTCTTAATCCATCCTCTAGTGTTAGGCCAACATGGTCCTCGTCACTGTCATCTGGTAATGCTTCTTCACTGTTGTCTCACTGTGTTTGAGCCTTGGGAAGTCAGTCAGAGTTGGCTGAACTGCCATACTGGGGCTGGAAACGGGGGGCAGTTTACCCACGTGGCACATCAGCCCCCTGGCTTCTCTTGTGGGCATCCCTAGAAACTAAGAGATGACTCCTAGACCCAAGAAGTCACTGCTGAAAGTATCTGGAAGACCCAGCTTCGGAAGACTCTGGGGGCTAACTCTTGCCGTTAGTGGGGGCTCCTTCCGCGCTGGGAGTGAGCCCCTTGCCTCTGGGGCTCTCGTCAGCCTCTCCTGTATCTTGCAGCTGGTTTCTCTCTGCTCACCTCCAGACAGCAGGCCACATCTTCGGGGAGTGGCTCTTCCTGGTGACACACCTGGGGCCAGGACTTGTGTCTTGTTGCTGCCCTGAGTAGCCTAAGAGCACCCCCTGCTTTCTGGTTTGCAGTTGCTGGACCTGCCCCAGTTGGGGCAGCTGCCCTAAGCTGTTCGAGCAGTGGGTGTTACTTGTTCAGGTCCTTGGAGAAATTCCCAGCAGCCATCTGAAGAAAATGGTGCTGAGATTCTGAGCCTTGGGCGCTGAGAGCAATGTTGACTTCTTCTGCAATAAGTGCAGGGGATCGTGGCAACTGAGGGCACGGTGGCATCGGAGCGGGTTTGCAGTCCCTGCTTGGGATGCAGTTTGTGTTACCAAATGTTTGCGTGTGGGGGTTGGAGAAGACTTGGGGAGACGTCTCCTCCCCTGGCTTCAGAGAGCAGTTACGAAAGATTTACTGCCTAATAGGCTTTGGGCCCCCTGAGCTGGGAGATGGCACGGTTGCTTTTGTTTTGCAGAGAATTCCCTGCGGCCTCTCCTGTGCCTGAAGAGCTGGTGCACCTCAGCTTGTGGAGTGCTGATTAGCCCAGAGCCTGCTGCTCGGCCTGTTCCAGGAACGGCCGTCTTTGGAGACCCTTTCTGAGTTACTCGGTCGAATTGGCTTCTCCCCCCTTCTCATTATTTCCACCCACAAACCTCACCGACTCATCAGACGGAATATTTTATGATTGCCCAGACTTGCTACCCTCCTTGGCGCGTGCCGGCCACCCTGTGTGGAGGCCTTTTCTGTCTTGGTTTTTCGAAATCCTGCCCACCCTTCAAGATCCAATTCACATATTAATGCTTCATTAATCCTTGCCCCAGAAATTGATCACTCCTTTTTCTCTGGAGCTGGGTTATCATTTTATATGCCCGTCATGGCCCTTATCTAATTCTGCCTTGCACAATAAATATGCATGTGTGAGCTTTTTTCCTTCCTTCTCTATTATATCGTGACTTTCCGTGGCTCCAGACTGTCTTGCGCATCCTGAAGTTCTCCACAAAACTCAGAATAGGCTTATTTATGCACATAGTTTGGTTTATTGAACTGCAGCCAAAAAAAAAAAAAAAAAAGTCCCCGAAGACTTTTTACGTTGTAGGAAATCAGTAAAATTAGGCATGGATGAAGTTGGAAAAAGCAATAGCAAGACAAATAACCAAAGAGGGAAAAGGAGCTCTTGGTCCTCTGAGCATGCACGATGCTAAAGGATTTTTAAAGAGTACTTGGTGCCCAAGATGCAGACACTGCCGCTCCCCCCAGACCTCAAGCCGTGGCTGATGTGATGCTGCATAAGCTCTTGTGCAGTAGACCCAGAATTCTGGTCCCCGCCAGCCTCAGATAGAAGCCTGGGGTGCAAGCACAGGGTGTATTTATTCCCCACTCATTTATTAGAGAGAAGTAGAAATTCCATTTCCCTGGAGGTCCTAACCCCCCTCTTCTTCTTCTTTTTGCCTCAGCCCTGGACCCATCCAAAGACCCCTGCCTGAAGGTGAAATGCAGCCCTCACAAGGTATGCGTGACCCAGGACTACCAGACTGCGCTCTGTGTCAGCCGCAAGCACCTGCTCCCCAGGTAAGGCCAGCTGCAGGTCTGGGCAGCCCCGTCTCTGACTGGGGTAGGGGGAGCCAGCAGATGCTTCCATTGGCATTTTGCCTACTCTGGTGCTGCTGTGCTGTGAATCTCAGTCTCAAATACAGATCTGCAAAGAACTTGATTTGCCTCAACACTCATCGGAGCAGATTAACAGGAAATCCCTTCTTGGTCATTATGGGGACCCACCTTCTGCTGGGAGGACCCCAGGTTACAGAAAGCTTAGAGCAAAGAAAACAGAGCTGGATTTTTAATCTGTTGTCACTGACATTCTCACCTCACATGACAATCTTTTGGGGTCCATTGAGATCTGGGGGCCATTGTTTCCATGTCCATGTAAGATGTGTGTACAGGCTGCTCTGGGCTGGGGTTCCCCCTCCAAAGCCCCCCCCCAACACCACCATTCCTTCTGAGAACATAACTTGCTCTATCCTCAGAGGGGAGCACCTGACGCCCCCAACCTTGGGAGGGCTCCTCCTTTCCTTTAGGGTCCTTGAGGCATTCACCCTTCCTCCTACCCACCTCAGCATTATCCTATGGGCTCAGACATCTACAAATTTTATAAACAATCCTTGAATTCAGGATACATCTACTTTCATTCCTGCAAAGATCCTTGATGCAAGGAAACAGGCACATATACATAAAACATGGGCTCACTCTGAGGATGGGGGTTGATGGGGGTGGGAGAAGGTGATTTCTTTGCCTGTTCTACCCTCCTTCCTGTACTGTGTGTGCACTTGAGAAGCATGGACGTGGGCCACAGACTCTGCTCTATTTTATGCAATGTGATCTGTATTCACTACACTGTACCTTGACCTTGGGCAAAGGAAGGCCCTCTCTGGAACTCAACTCCAACTGGAATCTGCCTCCTTATTGCTTTTGAGTATCAGTTTGGGACCACACAGTACAGGTCTCACCCCATGCCTTAGTTCTTATTTTTTATCATTCTTCTTATTTTTTATATATCTATTTACATTGTCATTCATTTTATTACAGTGTTTACTTTCCCTCTCCCCTCCCTTCATCACCATAGCCCCCCAAGTTCCTCCCTCCTTCTGATCCCTCTGTGTACCCCTCCACTATAGGGTCTCTTTGGTTTATAATTGTTTTTGTATGGTATTGTAATAACAATACACTATTTCCCCTCCCCCCCATCTTACTTGGTTCTCTTCAATTCTTCCTATAAATGAAACCATTTTATTTTTATTTTTCCTTCTGACTTATTTCACTGAGCATAATCCCATCTAGCTCCATCCATGCTGCAGTGAATGGCATGCATTTATCTTTTTTTGATTGATGAGTAGTATTCCATTGTGTATATATGCTACATCTTCTTAATCCAGTCATCTAGTTTTGGGTGTTTGGGTTGTTTACAGGATTTACCTATTGTAAGCAGTGCTGCAATAAACAGGGGGAAATATAGGGGGTGCAAATATCTTTTTGAGTTAATGTTTTTGTGTCCTTTGGGTAGATCTCTAGGAGTGGAACTGTTAGGTTGTATGATAGCTGAGGACTCTCCATACAGCTTTCCATATTGGTTGTACCAGATTGCATTCCCACCAGTAATGTAGGAGAGTTCCTTTTTCACCACATCCTCGCCAATATTCATTGTTGTTAGGTTTTTGTTTTTTTTTTTTTTGATATGTGCCATTCTCACTGATGTGAGGTGGTATCTCATTGTGGCTTTGATGTGTATTTCCCTGATTGAAGGATGTTGAACATTTTTTCATATGCCTGTTGGCCATTTGCAGTTCCTCTTTGGATGAATTTCTTTTAAGTTCTTCCCATTTATTGACTGGGTTGTTTGTTTTTGTTGATTTGTATGAACTCTTTGTATCCCTTGTCTTTTATATGGAGTGCAAAGATTTTTTTCCCAGTCAGTAGGGTGTCTTTTGCTATGCAGAAGATTTTCAATTTGATGTAGTCCCAGGTGCTTTTCTTTCTTTTTTTTTTTTTTTAAAGATTTATTTATTTATTCATACAGAACTGGGGTACAGGCCAGAGATGGGGAGGATGAGAGGCTTCACCAGAGACAGAGGGGGGAGCAGAACAGGCAGACTGACAAAGTACACTGCTGAGGGGAGCAGCGGGCGGGTCAGGAGAGTTCTGCCACGCCATGTGGATCTCCTCCGGGGCAGGCATGAATTGAACTCATGTGGATGTGGCTTTAGCTTCTTAGTGCTGTGCTTTAACCCGCTGCACCACCAGGGAGGACCTGCTTTTCTTTTCTTTTTCTTTTTCTCTGCTTTGGGTGAAGAGTCTTTAAAGATGTTGAGATGTATGTCTTACAATGTTTTACCTATATTTTCTTCTATATATTTTCTGGTTTCAGGTCGTATGCCCAAATCTTTTATCCATTTTGAGTTGATTTTCATGCATGGTATGAGGTAGTGATCTAGTTTCATTTTTTTGGTTTATGTTAGCCCAGTTTTCCCAGCTTCATTTGTTAAACAAATGTCCTTGTTTCATTGCATATTCTTTGCTTGTTTGTCAAAGATTAATTATCCGTATAGGTGTGGGTTTATTTCTGAGCTTTCTGTTCAGTTCCACTGCTCTATGTATCTGTTTTTGTTCCAGTACCACACTATTTTAATTGTTATGGCTTTGTAGTATAGATTGAAGTTTGGAAGAGTGATAGCTCCCTTTTCCTTTGTTTTCATAAGTATAGCTTTGGCTATTTTTTTTTTTTTGGTTCCATATGAATTTCATCAATGTTTGTTCTATTTCTTTGAATAATGTCATTGATATTTATTGGGATAGTGTTGAATCTATAAATTGCTTTTGGTAGGATGGCCATTTTAATAATGTTAATTCTTCCAGTCCACAAGCAGGGGATGTTTTCCCATTTCGTTGTGTCTTTTTCTTTTTCTTTTAACAATGTTGTATAATTTTCTTTATATGGGTCCTTCACCTCTTTTATTAGGTTTATTCCCAAGTTATTTATTTATTTATTTATTTTGGTTTCAGTTTTAAAAGGGATGGTTTTCTTGATTTCTTCTTCAGATTGACTATGTAGAGGGAAGCTACTGATTTTTGTGTATTGATTGTATATCCTGTTACTTAGCTGAACTGGTTGATTACTCTGAGTAGTTCTTCTGTGGCATTTTTAGGGAGGGTTCTCTATATATCATACCATATCAGCAAATAGTGATACATTTTCTTCAAGTCTGAGCAGTGCAAATCACTTTGGCTGCACCTCGTGGGATTTTTTGTTTTTTTGTTTTCTCATTCCCCTAAGTGGTTTCTTCTGAGCAAGGCTGTAGAGTGCCACCCTCTGAAATCCTGGTCAACAAAGAAACAGTGGTGGGTAGTATGACAGCCTGAGAAGCGCCCCTACCCTCTCTTATCTCTGCAAGCATGACATCTATGGCAACAGACCTGACCTCTTTGCCCCACCTCTTTGCAGGCAACCTTTGTCTCTGTGAGATCAAGAGGTGAGGGTACTGGAATGCTCCTCTCCTTCCCAGATTTGTATGTCCCCCAGAAGTAAAGGGAGAGATCTACCCCTCCCCTGAAACCCTAGTGTGGCAGGCATTGTGTTCACACCACCATCTTTGAATTCTTCTAGCTCTTTTGTCAAGTTGGTATTTATTTTTGTCTCCTTTCTAAAAATGAGGGAACAGAGGCAGAACAGGTCCTTTGTATGGCCATATACGCCTAGTATATGGGGCCATGATGTAAACTCAGGACACTCTAGGCCTACAACTTACATTTTCATCACAACCATATTGTGGCCTATTTATTCAGACTATCCCCAGTCATTATCTATTCATTTGTGGTCATTCGACAGAAAGGTGTTGAGTACCTACTGGGTGCCAGGCTTGTGGGAGATACAGAAGCTGCACAGGTAAACAAAGATCCCATTGCTGCCCAATGAAAACTGAGTTCACAGGGGAGTAAGTATTAAAAAAAAATGTACCTCTCAGAGTTTTATTTGAGACCTTACATGCCCTGAGAAAATTCTTCTGACACATGTGATGTCTTGCTTCTCCACAGAAGGGAAGATGTGGCCTATTTAGTTGCAAATACCCAAAGGCTTTTTGAGCTCCTACTCTAGTTATTCAGCCATCAGGGAGTGTCTGTCTGTCCATATAAGATGCAGAGTCCACTTAGAGTGAGAGTTCGAAGATGATTGTGTACAACCTCTGTATCTGAGTGTCATGTGACAGCAAATCTTCCGGTTACTAAATCAATTCTAATAATACTTATGATCCATGTCTGATTCATTCTTCAAGGTCAGGCAGGAAACCCCAAAGTTGCATGCTTCTGAGGTACATGCGCCTCATCCCATCCTACTCTGCTGGTGGCTGCAACTGCCGCCCATCCCAGGAAGCTCATGACGTTCAGGGTGAGGATGACAGTGTCATTTCTCCCATCCCTGTGAGTCACGGCAGGTGAGGGCTTGGAGATGACTGCATTTCTGGCCACAAGCCCCTTTCGTTCATTGGAAAAATCACCCCAAGAGGAGGTTTGACTGAGGCCGTGTGCCCACTGCTCTTTCAGGACTTGGACAGTGGCCTGATCCACCAGGGGCCCACTGTGGCGTCCCCGTGGTGGTGAGGCCCGCCACCCCTCTCCCCCCCTCTCCCAGGTTGCATTATTCTCCTGCCTTTTCAGCCCTATACATACTTCTTCTTAGGGTCCTGGACATCTTCCCAGATGAAACATCTGTCCTTCCACATTCTATTTCAGGGGTCCCCACTGACGGGATACTGTGGACAACCCTATTTATTCATTAATTGGGGAAGTAATCTCTCTCTGTGGGAAACATCTGTAGGCAGTCCCGCCCGCCAGCCCGGCCTTCGCAAGCAGCTCAAGAGGCAAATCGCGCCAGCCAGACCGTTGGGAGTGCACACATATGGGGAGGCGCCTGGGCCAGCCAGGCTGATCATGAGGCTGCAGACTCAGGCTGTCTCTGCAAGCTGGTCGAGGCAGGACAGTGAGCACATCAGCAAGAAAATTTCATTAGCTTTTTCTGCCCG